CCACACATACAAGAAATTTGAAATCCGTTGTTATTCCCTTGCTATTCACAATCCTTGTTGATTTTTTGCTACTAATGAATGAGTGCACTCATTTTACTGAATGATCTCTGGAATCTGTGCCACATGTGTGAAGCGTTAAAAGTCTATTACTGAATGTCTGTTTGCAACGACTGCCAGTTGAAGAGGTAAGAAGAGTAAATGAGTTAATTTCATGCATCTCTCAGTAGAATATGTGTTAGAACGTGATGATACGTAAAATGGAGTTAGGAAATTGATTAAAGATAATTGAAATATTTCATCATAGTGGTGTGTAATTTATTGATATTCATGTCCCATGATTTAATGGATTTACGGATAAATAGATCCCGAAATCTAGTTACAATAAAATCTCACAGGATATAGTTCGTAAAAACAAACACCGTTATTCATTTCATAATGAATGCTTGATAGAATAGAACAGAGGGATTATGAAATAAGCAGATTGAGTAATTAAGCTAACACATAATATTCATTGGATGGATAAATAATGAGAGATATTTTAACTAATTCTCAGACAATATGTAGAGATGTTATGATGTTGATTGTAGTTGTCGGAACCACAATAAATATCAGGAACAATGAAGTCGAATTACAGTTGAGAAGTGAAATTTACGTTGAAATCATTATATGATTTAGTTTGTTATTTCATGTTGTTCTATTGACGAGTTGAATCACACAGCTAAATTGACTAGGTCATTAATGCTTTTCATTTGGAACAATATTATTTTCCACTAGATATTCATCAAGCTTAACTGTAATATGCAGTAATATTTATATGCATAGATGTAATTACTAAACCAATCAAGGCAGTTTATGAGTCAATGATAACAGTGGGATAGAAATGTCTTGCAAGTAGAACTAGGAAGATATGCTCAGTCGATAGAATAAATGAGGAATTAGATCTCATACATAATATGTTGATTGAAATGAGTTATCGACGAGAAGAAACATTTGCATGTAACAAATAGGGAAATAGCGACATCAACGGCTACTAATAAACCACTTTTCCTAAAGCTGCAATTCAACGAACATGAAGATGGTGATGTGCTACATGATTATGGTAATAAATCGATGTGTTCAATCTCATATCAGTGATAGTGTAGTTGCCTATGAATGAATAGATTTGTGGGCACTGAATTTTCTGAAATAGACTAGGTCATTAATGTTTTTCATTTCAACGTGCTTCACAGCTTCATTGAAGTCTATAGAATTGGTTTGATGTGATGAAATTGATGGATTTTGTAGCTTATTGAGTGGTATCACAGAAGAACAGATATGCAGAGAGTTTACTGTTATGGCTCTCCAACTTCATATAGCACGTTCATGATGAAGTCACATTAGCCTAAAATCGTGTGACTACTGATAAGTACGTAGTAGTTAGAATGGGTAATTGAGACCTTCGATCGTCTGCAAACTGAACCGTTTGGTGTTGTTGTTGTTGTTGGTAAATATCGTGGAAATTTCCTAGAACTCTCATCACAGATAATATGGATGGATGTGATTTTGAGCGAACAGTGTTATTGGATGTGTTTGAGTGAAGGTGATGGATGCGATTGGAAAAGCGTAACAACGAAACTGGATTTATGAAAAGTAGTTCGATTTAGTTGGTGTGATGTTGGAGGTGTTGGTGATAAATAGACAATTGAATTTGGTGCTGAAACAACACGAGCAGTAATCAAACCTGTTCCTAAATAGTCGGTAGACTTCCGGAAGCCTGACGAACACTCAACGATAAGACCAGACTGGTTGAGGACGAAATCACAAACTGTCCTAAATAGAATTGTGTTGACGTTTGTATTGAAGATTGTGACTTTGATGCTGACCGGTAGTTGTTTTGAGTAGTAGATGTTCTTCGATCGTGGTTATGTTGGACGTGCTTTGCCAATTTGTGCCTTCACACGTGCGTCAGATTTTGTTTGTTTATTGATGTTGCTAATCAGGTATGTAGAGCATTGCACCTCTCCCGCAGCTTCTCCATCAAGTGTGATTCGGTTGGTGCCCACGGTCTGTCCTCACGCAATCCGGAGTGTTGATCTCACAGTTGGACGTCTACTGAAGCATTCATCCGGTTCAACAACACTCTGTTGAAATCATTTGCTGGTAGTGACTGTAGTATGATGCCTCACCTATTCTCGCATTTGCTGAGATCTACTCTCTTTGTTATCTTGATGAGATGTGCTTCCTTGTAGTCTCCTGATTCACATTCTTCACTTTATTTTGTTTGGTATTTGTTGATTCCTGTCTTCCTATTCATTTGGTGAAGATTCTTCTGAAATTCATCTTCATTCTTCTCTTCTTATTTATTAGATTTTCTGATTTTAATTTAGAAGAAAGACAACGTACAAGGATTATACATTGTTGTAGACTTAAATTCAGAAAATATACTAAAAGTTCACTTGAGAATACTTCTGACTTATGATATTGATTTAGTTAGATGAAACTATGCGTTCAAATTAGAAACCAGTGCACTAATGGCACAATCTCTGTATCGCTATTTATCTACATACTAAATTGGAATCAATGAAGTTAGTGTGTGAGTTAAGAGGTTTTCTCATTGATACCTATAAATGATGTATAATAATTAGAATATAAATGCTAACAACATTCAAGTAGCATTAAATCCTGATGACTATGACAAGATATAAACTTTGTGGAATATATTTTTCTAAGAAATTGACTACAGTTTTCATATTGACTGTGTTGTTCTTTCAAATACCATCAATTATTCTGTATCATAATTACACAACCAACAATTCAGTGGGAGAGGGATTTTTCAGTAGTGATGTTTTTTTTCACATGAAAATGTTGAGCACATGTACGTTCTCTGTCGACTGCCTCCAATCATCACCTTAGTCGAAGTGGATTGACACTGAAATCTATCATGATTTTGAGTTGTTGCATTTGATCATTATTCATGTGAAGGTTATACTTTATTTTGATCAGCAGAACTCATGTTGCTTTTACTGTGGTTGTTAGATTTAATACCATCCACTTTATATATACTCATAGTAGGTTTATGGACACTTTCGATCCTCGTATTTTCAAAATCAGTATGTGGATAACAATTTGAGAAAAAGAATGTGATAATGATTAACAGGAAATTGATTTATTTGTGTAATTTTTTAAGCATTTCTTATTCTATCAGTTTGCATAAGTGTTTCCAGCATTTTATGATATGAAATTTATTTATTTAACATATTTGCGAGGTAAACATTTCACTTTCTTAGTGTCTTTTTATATGTTAAAGAAAGATTGTTAGCATAGTAATTTGATTATTATCAGATTACTATACTATGGTGAAACTCATTTAAAATTAATTTGTAAAACGTATAAAGCATTAGACAAAATTTAGTGCTTATATACTTTTCTGTTATATATAACGACATTACTATATTGTAATTCACGTTAACCAGGAATACCGGATGCTAACTGACAAGAGTTTTCATATAAACGATCGCTCGAAAGTCCAAGATATCTGTCAAAAGCCAACTCTATTATGACTAAGAAATAAATTGCTTCACATTGTCATCCGATTCGGAAATGTTATTGATTTGGAGTGTACTGATCCCCATTGTATGTTTATGGACGGTTGGCATAATTTTCATGTGGTCATTTGATAGTAACGATTCGATTAATACCTATTCACTGTTTGACTCGGTTTGCAAGAATGTCTACTTTAAACAATGTACACAGTCAAGAAGTTCATGGCTTAAATGCATCGGAGATATAAACAGACCGAACAGACAACACAGACGGAACCACACAGATCTAACGTCAAAATGGCCACCGTCTTCTATAGCTGAGTTGTTTGATGATGCGTTGCCAATAATCAATCTTGCTTTACGTGTTCCAGTTGCTAAGAATGCTGAGAATCCTTTCGATAGCCCATACTATCGAAAATATCTACGCCTCACCACAAGAAATGAGGACAACATAATGAGATCCCCGGGTCTCTGGTCATCCGGATACAATTTATTTCCTCAAACATTAGATTTTGACAAAGTGATATACGATTCTGAAAAGGGTTTTCCATCAACCACAGTAAGTTATTTTGGTCATTTTTAGATAGGTTACCTTACATACTGGCATCAAAATATATACATGTCTAATACTTACACTCACTCATTTTGAAGGAATTCGAGTAAGGAGTGATTTATTTCACTGGGGACAGAATCACCCTGGCATTTGCCACAAAAGTTTCCTGGGACCCAGTAAGTCGCCATCATCGTCGTACAGAAATGCGTTAGTCAGACAAGGTCGAAACCTTGTCTACTTTTTTCCGCGCAATGCGTATTGCACAACTGCCTTGACACTATCGTGAAATATATTTCACATGTGCGTTGTTGTTGAGTACAACTCGTCAGTGGATTGGTAGCATTCTAGTCGCACATTCTATGAGTAACCGAATGGTATAGCTGGAAGACTGCTTCACTGTACTTTCATTCCATGTCCAGGTCACAACAAACTTAACACGTCGATTTACACGATCGTATATAGCTACAACATTATCACATTTTTGTATACAGAACAAGAACGGACAATCTTAGAAAGATACGAGAAAATTACTATTTATCGGTGAACAATAATGTGAACTTACATGAACTCATCAATTCCTCTATAATCGTCACAAGATTCATCTTATCAGTATCTGGACGCTGTATTATTAATGCTTCAACCCCCTCTTCTGTTGTTTAATCCCAACGTCCAATGACCTAATACTTGTTTATTCACACATACGCATACGGATGTGAGTAGCAGATGCGAAACGATGATATAGAATGGATTTCTATTAAGCTTCATTATTTGCTACAAAAGATTGATCCAATACTTATAGCTTTATGTGAAGCGACAAATATTTGAAAATCAGATGAAGTTATTAAGGTACTTCATGAAGATGGTGAGATGAAGACATGTTGGTTAGTGGTTTCTTTGATACTTACTTCAATTTAACTACGAAAATGATGTTATCTTTTCGTTGGGCGTGTACCTTCTGTAAGAATATAACGCCATTATTTTTATTTATTGACGATGATTATGTACTTCATCCGAACAATACAATGAAACTCGTAAAGTCAATTAAAATATCAGATATGAAGTCATATGTCGGTGGTCCAATTCATGCAACATCAGTTGTATCGCGACCACAAAATAAAAGTTACAACTCAAAGTGGGATGTTTCACCTCATGAATATCCATGGAGTTATTATCCTCCATACTTTTATGGTATTGGCTATATGATTGGAGCTGACGTTGTATGTGATGCTTCTGTTACAATGTCATTTACACAACATCTTCGTATTGATGATGCATACCTTGGGATTGTTTTGGCGAGATTGAGCAAGAAGCTCAATCAACTTAAAGGGTTCAGAGTATACACTGATACAAATTTCGAAGCATCAGGAGCAGTTATTATACAAAAATCAAGCGCTGGTTTACTGTTTGCTTAAACCACAATAATAAATTAGTCTTTCTTTCTGTAAATATTCAGTTATAAATAATCTTATATTAGTCATCTGAATAAATGTATATTATAGACATGCAAATGCTGTCTGGCTAACAAGAACTAATTTTAATAGTCAGTTCATAATGTTATCGACTATTGAGAAGATCATAAGAGCGTGTCATACAAACCAATTTATACATTTTATGACCATGAACTATTTTTGTATTCAATATTTCCTATGTCATTGAGTTACTTTATTAAACAAAGAAATAAGAATTATGGATCAATTATCCTGATTTCTGGTTCAAGTTCATGTTAAAATTTGTGTCAAGAATTCAAATTTCTCCATTAATCATCAAATGTTCACAATCTATGCATAATAATCAACAAACTGTCATCATCACATGGTGCTTATCATAACTGAAACAAATGATGAGCTAAGATGATAGGTTAATTAAACTCTTATTTATTTGCAATTAGTTCTTCAAATTAGAAGTCATATTATGTCAGATCTAAATCTTACTGGTATACTATAGCAGAAGTCACTTAATCAGCAACAAATGATAGAATATTAAAGTAACAAATCCCGCATACCATATCAGATAGTTCTCACAGTAAATCTATAAAAAATGATAAATTAAATGTAAAAAAAACAACAACTGTTATCATGGAGATGGATCAAAAGTTAATCAATTGTATGTGTGATAAAAGTAATAATGATTTAAACTGATTCGTATATAGATTCTTACATTAATTATCTGAATAAACAAAAACCTAAACGTAATACATGCAATTTTTATCCATTTTTATATTTTGAATGTTTATTTTTTTATCATCATTGTAGTAATTTGTATTTGGATTAATTTCTCACAGGTTTGTCGAATCTTTGTACCGATTTGTTTTTAATGAAGCCTATTTTGAGCAAGGATGCTGGTAGAATGAGACATTGAATTATTTTTGTGCTATGAATAACTTACCCGAAACTTTTTCCACCTAATAAATCTTCAGATATTCATTTATTTACTGGTGACTATTATTTTCATTTGTAAAATTTGTATCTTATTTTTAGCATCAGATCTCTTCAAGCAATCCATCGTCCATTTTTAGTTACTGTTTGAGTATTTCTCGGTGCCTCATTTTGTTCCCTAAAGTTTATGATCATTTTCAGAGACCCTGTATATATTTATACAAGTTCACTATTTGCTGATATCAGTCTTCTTTAGTCTCTATTAAATAAATCTTCATCCCAAGATTTGTATCTTGTGATGGCCATGCTTAAAATTTAAATGGGAAATATGATATCCAGGTATCGAAATTAAAACTACTAGTTATAGCTGTCAGAGCAAGACTCATCTATCTGAAACCGATGAAGATTCAGGAAAATGTTTAACAAAGAAAGAGATTATTTGGGCAGATTGAAGAAGTAACTGAAAAACAGGTAATAACATTGTTGGTATAATTGTTCAGTAGAGTTCATTCACTCAAAATTCCTTTAATATACTTATGATACCGAAAATGTGACTGAACGTAAATAAAATTGCCTAATAACTTGGAACATTTTGCAAATAATACTATTTCTCATTTCCTTGAACAGTAAAGTGGTTAATTTACTTTCACAGTCGTTATCTGAGATAGTCATTGAGAATATCAATGGAAATTTCAATTTTGTTGATCGTTCTTCAAGATATAGGCCTTCATGCCACTCGTCAACAAAGTGTACCTATAATCTTGAGGGAACTGGTGCTCCATGACAGACCGTGAAGCTGGGTGACACAGGATCTAATCCGTTAGGGAGTACCAGTTCCCTCAAGATTGCATGTACATCTTGCTGACGAGTACCAAGTAGCATGAAACTCGGGTCCAGGGTTTCCTGTTGACTACCTCCAACCACCATTTAATCTCAACATAGTGCACGCAAAGGCGAGTCACCTAGACTAGTGGCCACATTGCAACTTGGTCGATAGGATTCGATCTGAACTAAGAAGGACTCGACATACATGAAGTTGATCACCACCCAGTGATCAATCAATTGTGAAGACAGGTGATTCCATACAAAAGGACTGTATTTTGTTTGACGTTAACCAGATGATAATAATTAATTTGATAATCAAAAGAAAATCATACATAAAGCCTATCTATGCTAATCACTTTGTAAGTAACGGTGTCCATTTTTGAGATTTACTCTGTGACGAAATTAACGTAAATTAGTCACAATATAAGCTAATCAATTCTAAATGAAAGTACTTCAAACAAAAATTACAATAGAAACTGAATTGAGATACTGGAAGGATTATATTCAAATAGGGAATTTCGAAGATTGTATCATGACTGGAGGTGTCTGAAATCTTATACTGATACACAACGTGCTAAACGCCAACCCCCTAACTGACTAATTGGATAGGATTACAAAAGTGAGCGAAAAAGTATATTGGACTGGAAAACAAAATATACGAATACTCATTTATATACTACAACTCTGAGATAGTGGAGAAGATATTCATCTTAGGTGGATAATTTTGATGGAGTTTTGTTCCCCAAGCTGCATGGTTTGGTCGTGGAGCTTTCATCGTTCTTCTGAAAGACATTATCATTACAAACTTCAAGTAGAAGTGAAGTGTTCGAATTTCTCCACATATAGCTCACAGACCGCGATCTTAATTGGTTATTGTTGACCTTTAACCTGTCATTGTTTACTTCTTCATTTTGGTTGTATCTCCCATTGATTTGACTTTTTGTCCTATATTTGTCGATAGTTTTTCTGATTGGTTGATAAATTGGATCTATTTCAATGTGTTTGTTGGTTGCTGATTGGTCTGAGTGTCAAGCTTTTAAAAATTCTCTGGTGTTTTTAAAATTGCCTCTATCCAAGATCTGAACATTCTGTGGACACATATTCGACTGGAATTCTAACACTTCATTTCTACCTGAAGTTTGCACAAAAAACAAAACTCCATCAAAAACACACAACTCCATCCCTTAGGAAATCAATCCACCTCTTAGCTAATGAAATACACTCCTCTTTCAGGTCACTTCTGATTGCAATCGATTGACCTTCTCATTAGGCTACTTCTGATTGTCTTGCCATATCAGATTGTAGAATGCTAAACCTTCCCCCCTTTATGACATTATCATGAATTAATAAAATACCGGCTCATCGGTCTAGAGCTTAAGAGTTCATGCTTGAAAATAAATGTCCTGGGTTCTATCCCTGTGTACATTGTTGTCAATACGCGCTGCTAAAGAGTCTGAAATTAACCTCCATAGATGCATGATTAAAATGTTTTCTTTAGAATAGGACAGTATATATAATAATTTATTCTGACTCATCAAAACATGCATATGAACAGATAATTTTGTGGTCCTTTTCATTTCTGTATAAAACTGAACAGTTTCCAAAGCACGTTTTAAACTTTGTTAGCTTTAACATATATTGTTAGATTTAATATTAGCGATCTATCAAATACAATCTTCACAAAGAAAGCTGTAAATTAACATCTATGCTACGGTACAGACTAGTCAAATCATTGAGTTCTCGAACATGAGTATAGCATTATCAGTGAATATTATTCACACTTATTACATGGTATGTTCAAACTGAAAAACATTTGTGGAGCAAGTAGGAAAAGTGAAGATGAATGCACATGAACTTTTACTATCAATATAATATCATATATAGATTCAATAAAATTGATAGAAACAATTAACTAAAACTGGGAAACATGTTTTTAGGATTATTTTAATAATGAATAACATTGTGTGATGTCACCTAAGTCTGATTATATTTTTGAAGAGTTCCTCATAGTTGTTAATCTACTATTAACTACTATTAGTTAATAATCAGAATTCGTTTATTAACCTGTACAATGAAAGATCTAACACTCATTTGAAACATGAAAACAGAAGTATTAGAAGGTGTTCACTTGTCAAATATCTTTGTCCTAATAACACTTCAACGATTATCTATCGATAAAGATGACTGATAACATCAATACTTCGTTCATGATCGCTTCTAACCTTGATGTAAAGACTCATTTAATAAAAACTTATTGGCTGCATAACTATTATGTCTATTTCTATACTATGGTCATATGAGTATGCAAAGATAGAAAGATATTTATTCTAGAAAAAAATTTCCAATAGTTTAAATGTTGTATATTTTCTGTTCAACATCAACTTATGCGCGAACGTATTTGAATGGTTAATAAATGATACAGTGCAACGTCTTTTGCAGCAGAATTTGGTATTACAATATTCGAAACAAATTTATGGATTTAAAAAGGAGTTTTAGATCTATCACAGCTTTGAGAATTTAATTTTGTGAACCCTTTCATTTTATTTTGACTGAGTTAGTCATTGTTAAATGGAATTGGAAATACATATACTTCTGTGGTACGAATTTAAAATTCATCACAATTTTAACACGGTGTAAATAATTTGAGCATTTTTCCAATTATAACTTCACAGTGTTCACAGTGTTAGACAAAGTGTTAATCATCCTAAACGTTATATGCCTTGTAACAGTCATCTAAAGACTCTGTCTACAGAAACATTCATAGATTGTTGTTGAAAACACTCTCAATCCCTATATTTCATAAAAACTACCATGGTTTCTTTCACTTTATTCGTTATATTTCACATTAATTTGGTTGAATGAGAAAACAGCTGATGATAATACGTGACATAACTGACATATAGTGATGACGTGGAATTAAACTAAAGGTTATAACCCATATGTAAAATCGTTTTGAGTTCTGCTAGGTAATAGCAAATAAATCTATACAATATTGAAGTTAAAATAAAAATCCTTTCCATTGAACAAATGAAAAACATGTCCCGTGCACATGTTAGTTTTAAGTAAGTTCGATTTTATTTTATGCTCACTAACTATACATTATTACGACTGTCAAATATTAATGTGAGAGTACGCATAAAAACTAACAGCAGATAGGTCGAATACATTTAGCGAAATCGATTACCGTAATAAAAACACGTGTAGAGTAGTGT